CAGGACTCGGCACAGGGGATCAGTTCTGTGGCTCAGAGCTTGGGTTTTCCCCAGTTAATGTGTTTGCAGGGCTCCGATACGCAAACGACGTTGTGTTTGTGATCCCTGGTTTTTATGGAGTGTTCTCCGGGGTTTTATGGGCTGGGTGTGCATGGCTGAGGTAATAAAGAGAGGAGTTTATGATGCACGGAGCCATTGGGATCACACTGTTATTGACTGGTTTGGTGCAGGCCCCAGGGCACTCGGGGGTCCCTGGCTGTGCCAGCAGGGCACAGAGGGGGCTCTGCTTTGGTTGGGGGCAGTTCAATGAACCTTCATGAACGTTCATGTAGCTCTACACAAAGAAACGAGTGAGAGGTGTCCAGATGGGAGCCCCCACTGTTCTATCCACCTTTGGGAGTCTCCTTATTGCAGTGTGAGCTGATAGCAGTTAAATTCTTTTCCCAGCTGGGCAAAATCAGGAGAGATTTGCTGAGGCCGAGCTGTCCCTGATGAGCCAGGGTGAGCTGTGGGGACCCAGAGGGAATGGCACTTCTGCTCTCTGGATGGGAGGTGCAGCCCCTGGGTGTCCCCAGAGCTGTGGCCATGTCCCACCGTCCCCAGGGATTGAGCTGAGCTCTGTCCCTTTGAGGCTCAGGGTCCCCAGAGCTGGTTCTGCCCACTGACACCTTGGCCAGCCCCAGATGTGCTGCTGGGCCTCCCCAGATGTGCTGCTGGGCCTCCCCAGAGCCCCCCAGCATCCCCCAAACCTTCTGCCACAAATGGCAATGTCAGTCTCTGATCCACGAGTATCCAAACCCCTTCATTGGAGAGGTGCTCAAGTGTTCTCAGCCCAAACTTTGACCTCTTTCCACAACGTTTCTGAAGGAATGGAGTTGCCTGACCAGAAACAGATCTGGGCAATGTTCTGCTTCCATTAGGAGCTGATGGCAGCATTCCTGCTGACTGCAAGAGAATGATAATTTGGCTTACAGAAGTTGCCACATAGGTTCTCTAGAAGTGTGTTAAAGTAATTTTCTGACCCTGGACTCCACGTGGTTTCAAAAAGAGTGAGGAGCTCCGTATCTAGCACTGTCTTGGCAATCACAGTGCAACCAAGCTGTTTTGAAAATTAAATATATATAAAATGCAGCTCTTGGAAAAGGACAATTGATGTTAGATTGTTTCTCAAATTTAGTTTAATTTTACTCCAGCAAAATTCGGGAATATTTCAGTGCCTTGGAAGACAGAAAGCAGAAGAGATGAAGTTCCTGGTGCTCACAGGAGCAATCTCTTTGGATTCCTATTACAACTTGGTGATAAAGGAATTTATAAATGAGCCAGCTGCAGCACTTTGCTGAACAAATTGGGTGGATTTTGTCCTGCAGTTCCTTGCAGGAGACCCCATAGCCAGAGGTGTTGGTCTCTGCAGCGCTGAATTCTCTGCAGCGCTGCCCTGGGTGCTCAGATTCCTCCCACTTGTTTACATTGTGCCTTATCACACACAGATATCATTTCAGCTGCCTGCAGCAGGGGTTTTATCTAGCTGATATTTCACTTTGATATACAAGAAAAGTGTTCTTTATTGCTGCGATCTACTCCAGGTGACAATTTGCTTGGTGTGGGCTCCATTCTGATTACACAACTCTTCTGTTTATTGCAGAGTCTGCCTTGTTTTTCCACTCATCACATCATGCAATTATTTTCATTCCATGTTTCTCCTCTTAAATCCTTGAAGCACCATGATCTGTCTGTCACGTTAATCCATTTTATTTGTTGAAGTCATTGTGTGTGAAGCCAGATTTATATCTCTCAGAGCATTTGTGTGCTGAGAGTGTGGCAGCAAATTAATGCTTTGGAAATCTCAGCACTAGCAGCAATTGAAAGGAAACAATCAGCTCAAAATATAGCAAATAAAAAGAAAGTGGCCGCGCTCAGGTTTTTCATCTGGCCCCTTGATTTTAATGCATTTTTATCTGGAGGTTTTTGTGTGTGTTTTTCTTTTCCTAAGAGCATTTGTCTTTTTGTTCTGTGAGCTCAGTTGGTCTAAATGCCAAATCAATGTCTCTCCATCCACTTTCATGGGCTTTTCATCAGGCTTTATTTGCCTGCCCAGGATAAACAATTACAGTGTGCAAGACACTGTTAAATTTTCAAAATCAGAGAAAAAAAACACAGCATAAAACCGTATGGTCAGACATAAAAAAGTCAGAGGTTTTCTGATATTTGGCTGGAGTTTCTTGCATTTTGATTTGTGCCCGTTGCTCTGATCTGCTCTGTGGGCACAAATGAGCAGAGCCTGGTCCATTGCTCCATTTCCAGCTGGGATTTTACAGATTTTTGTGCTCAGCACCTGAGGGGAACCTTCCTGCAGTGGCTCTGCCTTTCCCTGAGCAGGTGGAGCCAGGGCAGATTTCAGTCAGCAGATCTGAGATTTGTGCTGTGTGAGAGATATGAACTGGCCAGTTCATTGCTGATGGTGTTTATTCATTGTTTGCTCATTTGCCTGTTTTCTTTTGTCGTTCCATCCAGCTCTAAGAATCCACAACTTCACTGTGCTTCCTCCCCATAACTCTACCTTTGTAAATACCAATGACTCTGCCTACTCTAACTCCTCTGCAACTGTAGGTGAGGAATCTCTGGTTTTTTGTTCTGGTTCTGCATTTCTCAGGCGTGGATGGTTCTTGTAACCCCGGATTCAGAGTGAACTCTGGGTTCGGGTTCAAGTGCTTGTGTGGTAAATGGGTATTATTATTATTATTATTATTATTATTATTATTATTATTATTATTATTATTATTATTATTATTATTATTTATTTCACTGTCACACACTGCTGGAAAAGCAGCCCTGCAGCGTTACCTGCACTGCTGGGATTCTGGGAGAGGCATCCCCACGTGAATCCCATGGGAGGAAGGGCCCCAGGCATTCTCCAAAACCTAAAGAAATTAATATTCCTTAAAAGAAACAGAGGTGACATTTCAGAGGAACATGTGAGAGTAAGCAGGTTAATTTTTTTCTTGTCTTTCAAGGCTGAAATGGTAAAAAGGCCCTCTGGTTTTCACTGGTTTATAATGGTTTTAGAGGACATATTAAGAAAGACAAATGCAAGCAGGTTTGCAAAGCCTGGGAGTGGGGTGTTGTCAGTCATGACAACTTTGGTTAACATGATAGTTTATTTTGGTTTTTTGTTTGTCTGTTTTTTTAATGAGAAGCACATATTTCTATATATGTCCTTATATTAATTTTTTTAACACCCACACACAGAAACTGCCAATTCCAGGCAGGATCCTGGCAGGCTGGGAAGCAGCTACAGCAGCTGGAAGTCCCTTAATTTCAGTAATTGCATTTGTGCTGTGTGGCCGTGATTAAGGTGTGACCTGGTGCCTGCTGTGCCTCGGGTATAACTCACACCAAAATGTCACAAACCCGACCTGGGGACGAGGATGGAGATGGCAAAGCTGTCACTTGGGCTGCTCAGATAGCGACACTTCTACATTGCAGTGCTAAACCCACTGTGTTTTACTCTCTAACAGTAAAAGTGTGCTGGCAAATGGGAACTCTATTAATGGTGAACTTCAAATGACCCTAATTCCTTCCAGCCCTCTCTTATCTGCTTTATAGACCATTTGCACAGTTCTCACATAATAAAGTGTGTTTAATTTGAGCATTAGAGAGAGACACCCATGGCAAAGGAAGGGCTGGGGGAACAGAAAAGTGTCACCTTATGGGAGCTTCCTGCAGAGGGAATTTATAATTCAGGTGCCTTGAGAAGAGCTTGGGAATGCTTGATTCACCCCATAGTACACACATTTTTAAAAGGACCTAAATTTTATCTGTCAGTTGGAGAAAGGACTTGATGGTTTCTTCCTCAAAGAGAGGGGAAGATACCTGAAAACTGATATTTAAATGAGAACAATTTACTATCCTTATTTATCTTTCAATGTGAAACATGAAATTAATTGCATTGAAACATGCATTCACTGCATTCATTGAGGAAAGGAAAATGTTTCTCATGCTGGAGCTCCCTCAGAGCAGCTCTTCTCAGTGTTTTTCCAAAAGAAATTCTGAAGAAGGGTCCCAAACCCAGGGTTCTGGACCCTCATGGCCCTTGCAGAAATTCCATCCCAAAGAACGGTGGGAACAGGGAATCCCGTCAGAAACAGCAACCCAACATTCTCTGCTCCCTGCAGGCATCTCAGCCCAGCAGGAGGCTTTGGTTGGGGTTTTTGGTTGTGCTTTCCCATTGTCTGCATTGTAAAATCAGCCAGGACACACAGGAAAGCTCCCCATCACTTTCTGTGAGCTGCACTCAGACCCTGATGGGTTCATAATGCAGCAAACCAAGCCCAGGCTCTGTGAGAGAGCATCCCTGTGCTCAGCGGTGGGACAGGATCACCAGGGCTGTTCTGTGGGAGGGAACACAGGGAAATCGCAAACAAATTACTCATTATCCCCATTGGGTAAATAGTCATTATCCCCATTGGGTGAATTACTCATTATCCCCTTTGGGTGAAGCAATTGCCTTTCCAAGGGCCAAGCACACCCCAGCAGAGCGTGTCTGAGATCTGTCTTTGAGTGCACCTTGTCAGGGTATTTCATTGAGGTATTTCTCAGTGAAAATTCAAGTTTGATCACCAGCTTGCCCTTTCAAAAGCTGAGGAAAAGAAACACTATTTTGTTATGTTTTAATTGGGGAAAGGATTTCTTTGCTAGCTCAGCCTAACATGGTAAGACACCTCTAGGAAGGGTCTGGCATTCCAAACTGTGCAAAGCATAAAGTTTACTCAGATTACTCTAAAATAATTAGAATTGGGTGTATGGGTTCTGTCAGTCAGTTAACCACAGAGCTGAGTGGGTAGAAGTGCAATATTTACAAACTTGAAATAAAAGAGGTTTCTGTGCGGTCTTTAAAAATACAACGAACCACTGACAAATGGAAACAAACAAAGAAACTGAACACACAAAACTGGGACAAAAAACACCAAAAAAGAAAACAAACACAGAAAGTGACAAAGCCCTACAGCTGGACCTAGATAAACATCTGAGCTATAGCAGGCTGTTAAAATCACATTTACAGGAAGTTTGAAGCTTTCCTCTGTGTGAATGTTAAACTGGATTTGGTTTTGCTCTAGATATTGTAGAAGGGATGGTGAACAAAGGGATTTACATGACTGAAAAGAAAGGAGTCACCTTCCTCTTCTTTGGGAGCTACAGAAATTCCTGCATCAGTAATCCAGAGGCTTGTGGGCCTGAAGGTGAGAAACCCATTAATTGTGATTGACTTTTGCTGCCAAATTATGTTACTCAATAACCATTGTTTCTTTGCTCGGAATGAACTCTAAAAATGAGGCTTGACACTTTGCTGACTTCTAAGACAATTGAGTGTTGATTGCTGAAAATTTAGTTTTTTCCAGCTGCAAGTTAAGTTAGAGCTGGAGCTCTGTTGATTTTAAAAAGGCTGTCCAGGTTTGTGCCAGCAGATGATCTGAGCTCAGAGGCATTCCCACCGCCGGTGCTCTGCACACTGGAGATTTTCAATTGCACTCGGTTTTCTCATTCATTCTCCTCTCCCTTCCCTCAGGGGTAACGTTCTCCTTTTTCTGGAAGACCCAGGACCAGCAGGCCAAGCTTCTCCCTGCCTCTGGGGGCCGGGTGATCTCCAGCGGCTTCAGAATCTGCTCCAGCGAGGGCGAGGGCTCCGTGGAGTTCTACACCCGGGGCAGCGCCATGATGAGGTGGAAAGCGAGCTTCAGCCCACCAGGTAAAGTCTGTTGGTTTAAAAAACCCTAATTTCTGTATTGCATTTTGCTTTATTCCTGCACACAGAGGTGGTGAGAAGAGCACAACTCGAGGAAAGAGAAGGGGATATGCAAAAACAGCTGCAGACCTCTGTGCTGGAGAGCTCTCCTGGCGTGGGGAGGGAGGGATGAGATGCCAGAGGAAAGCAGAGATGTACAATAGAACACTTGCCAGGCCAGCAGCCCTGGGCCCAGCCTGCAGGGGTGTCTGGAGCGAGTCCTCATTGACTCCTGTGCTTGCGGCATGTCTGGGTGGGAACAGGAGCAGAGAATGCAGGTTCACCCCACGGCACCCCAGCGCTGCTCTCTGCTGAGTTCAGCCTTTATTTGGAAACTCTCTGACTGCTCTTTGGTGCCTTCGTGATCCTGCTTCTGTTGAGTGCCAGGTTTCCTGTGCCAGGCCATAGCATTAATAAACATTTTGGTATATCACATATCTCACTGCTTCTGTCTAAACTGTGCCTTGCTGGGGAGCACTAATATCTACTGACTGGAACAAATGCTGGTCTTCCAGTAATGCTAATGGCATTCCATAAATATTTTCTGGCCCTAATTTGGCTGCCTGTACATTGTTAAAATTGGACTCATGGTAGCAGTTTCATAAACCTTAATGAATCAGTTCAGAAATCTTCTTTTAAAAGAAAAGCTGCAAATGGCAAGAATAATTCACACGTTTGCAGATTATCCAGTCCAAGTGAAAATGAATATTGTGTTTTCTGGCTCTCAAGCATAACAAGGGGACGGTGAGAACTTTAGAGTGGTTTATGTGCTTGCTCTCCAGCTCCTGGTGTCCTGGTGCTGCTCTCTCTGGGCTGGGTTTGAGGCAGGAGTGAAGAACCCTCAGCTCTTGGCCAGCAGCACTGAGCAGGGGAATTTATGGAGCTGCAGCGAGCCCAGGCTCAGGCAGGGCTGGGGGCATCCTGCCAGGCATGGGCTTCCCCAGGGGGGTGAGGATGCGTGGGCACAGCACCAGCATTGCATGGCTCACCACGGCCCTCCTGGCAGCTCCATGCAGGGAGAGCCCAACCGGGAGCTGTGGATGGGGCTGTGGATGGAGCTGCCCCCAGCCCTGCTGAGCCTCTGCTGGACCCAGCTCTGGATGCAGCTCTGGAGCTGCCCCCATTCCCACTGAGCCTCTGCTGCCTTGCAGGTCCCCACTGGACCCCGTTTTGGGGGCTCTGGAGCTGCCCCCAGCCCTGCTGTGCCTCTCCCTTGCAGGTCCCTACTGGACGCACGTGCTGTTCACCTGGCGGTCGCGGGAAGGCCTGAAGGTGTACGTGAACGGCACGCTGAGCACCACGGACCCCGAGGGGAAGGTGTTCTACGACTATGGGGACGCCAGCCCTGACCTGCTGGGCACGGAGGGAGCAGCCCCGCGCTCGGTCAGCGGCGCCTTCGACGAGTTTGTGATCTGGGAGAGGGCGCTGAGCCCGCGCGAGGTGCGCCAGTACTTCACTGCCGCCGTGGGTGAGTGGGGCTGGGTGGGCACCAGTGAGAAACGGCTGCTCGCTTTCCACGGTTTGTGTTATAAATGAATTAAACAGTTTGTATTTTAATATTGAATAAATTCTCCTTATTAATCAATTGTAAAAAGGCCACAAGCACAGATCAGACTGCCGCTGTGGGTGAGTGGGGCAGGGTGGGCATGGGGACTGCTGGGCAGGGCACCTGTGAGAAATGGCTGCTCACTTTCCACAGTTTGTGCTATAAATGAATTAGCCAGTTTGATTAACAAGGAGAACTTATTCCACAATTAAAATACAATTGTAAAAAGGCCACAAGCAAAGACCAGCTCGCCCGAGGTGCGCCAGTGCTTCACTGCCGCCATGGGTGAGTGGGGCTGGGTGTGCCTTCTGACACCTCTGAGAAATGGCTGCTCACTTTTCATAGTTTGTGTTATAAATGAATTAGCCAGTTTGATTAACAAGGAGAATTTATTCAGTATTAAAACACAATCATAAAATGGGCACAAGTAAAGATCAGATCGCACGCGGTGCGCCAGTGCTTCACGGCCGCCGTGGGTGAGTGGGGCTGGGGCAGGGCACCTGTCAAAAAAGGCTGCTCACTTTTCATAGTTTTCAATCTTTAAAAAGTTTATGATGCTGTGCTCATGGTGGAAAAAATGCTTTTGCATTTGGCTGCAGTGTCTTTGACAACAGTGGAGGGTTACTATAACACTGTCCAGCTCCAGCTGCCATTATTCACCCTCTGTGATTAATGCAGCGCCGCAGAAATGTTCTGCTGCCAAACCCCAGAGCAGCAGCTTTTCAAATTGCCCCCATTCATCAATGTGTGTGCCCTGTCCCACTGCCAGGGAGGGATGGCTTAAATAAACACAGGGAGACCCCTCTTTAACCCCTTTTTAACACCCTTTTAACCCCTGTGGGCCCAGCACTGCCTGTGACAGGCTGGGAAGGTCCTCCCAGGGAATCAAATCCTGCTCCTTCCCTCTGGGCTGTGCTGGGGGGTCTCTGGGCCCCAAATCTGATTCTGCACATCAGTGCTGGGAGCTCCCTTCTGACACCCTCCTGGCCCTCCCATTCTGCCAATTCCAGATTTTTCCAGAGCTGTGCAGAATTCTGCCTGCATCCCACCCTTAACCCCAGCTGGTTTTCAGGAGGCTGCATCCCAAACTCCTTCATTTGTGCCTTGAGATGCTCATGCCGTGAGCACCTGTGACTTTACTGCGATTTCCATGGCATTAATTGCTCTGTTGATGGGTTTTCCCCTAAACTCCTGGTTCCACAGGTTTTTTAGTGTCATGTGGAACTATCAGAATGCTCTGAAAAATAAATGTGTGCCTCTTAATTGAAAGTGAAGCTGGATGTGTATTTTCCAGGGGCTTAGGAATTCAAATGTAAAGGGATGCCAGATATATATTTTTTTTTAATTAGACAGAAGAACTCCAAGCCAACATTGCTTTAATGTGATCAGGTGTTTTGGAGCACCTGGGAAATGTGGCCATTTAATTTCTGGCTTTTCTCTTTAAAATAATAGGCTGATTGGATTTAATAAAATTTCCCACTTAATGTATGAAATTAGAATATTCTCAGAGGAAGCAATGGGTATTACAATAGTAATGAACATAAGTAGAAAGGTTATGATATCTATTTATTGATTTTGGGGGATTTCTAGCAGGGTTGAAGCAGGGTAATGTGGTTTGACATAAGCAAATAGAACAGCCTGGTTTTTAATTGAGTGAATGTTCATGTTCCTTTTGGATCTGAGAGAGAAATGGGTCCTGTGCATGCAGCTAGTGTTGGATTGAGATTCCACACCCCTGGCAAATAATAACTCTTGCTCAGATAAAGATTAGAAGAAAATTTGATTTCTCTATCACAAGGCTGTGTGGCTACAGTACTGGAAATAAATAAAATCCACAGAACAGCAAATCTGTTGCTTTCAGTTGGAACTGATCCAGCCTGAGGTGGGAATTTATATATAAAATTATGCATCTGATATAAGAAATCCAGATTTGTAACAGCCTCATTTGTGTTTGCATTTCCCCAGGTGTGCAAGTCCTGCTCTCCTCAACGCTGCCCTGGTCTGTGATGACAACCACGACAAGCCCAGTGGTAGGACAGAGCTCAGACTCTTCCATAAAGGCAGAACGTGCATAAATCAGAGTTACACACCCTCCTCCCTGCCTGGTTTCTGTTAATGGCACTTATTTCATATCTCTATTGTAAATGCTTTTTGACATGCATGGGCAGAAGTTTTGGCCACTGTGGGAAGGTGGGAACACAACGGAAATTCCTTGTTAAATTAAATATTTACTATATTAAATAATGAAAAAAAGTAGTGACTTCTGAGGTATTGCTATTAACTTTGAAAATATAGGAGGCTAAAAACCATTCTGATAATTTTCCTTTCCTTCCTTTCCTTCCTTTCCTTCTTTTCCTTCCTTTCCTTCCTTTCCTTCCTTTTCCTTCCTTTTCCTTCCTTTTCCTTCCTTTTCCTTCCTTTTCCTTCCTTTTCCTTCTTTTCCTTCTTTTCCTTCCTTTTCCTTCCT